TTCTGACTTTCTGGCTTCTGGGAACCATCCAGAGGTGTACATGTGGGTCACCAAGGCCTTAATGGCCAGGCTTGGACTTAGAGGCCTGACACCAACATCCCAAGATACAGTGAATGAGAATGAATGAATGCTTTTAGCCAAGCACTTTACCAGGGTTAGGATGTCAGAAGAGCAGAGAGAAGCAGCATGGCACAGACTAGTGGCTTTCAAACTTTGACTGTGTCCAGGAAATGCTGGGAAGAGCTGACTAAAAGCACCGATCGGTTGTTATGGTATGGACATTCAAATGCACACCAAGAGAGCCATTGATATAAAGAAGAGAGACAACCTGGGTTTAAGTCACTTCTTTCACTTACTAATGGTGTAAACTTGAGCAAATTACTTAACTCTGGCCCTCAGCTTCCTCATCAAACATGTAGCTATATCATACATATATTTCAGGATCAAAATGAAGTAAACTTTAACTGAGAGCATGCCAGATTATACTGTGCCATCAAAAGTATCCAGCTGGTGGTCACAGGCTGCAGTGAACTGGCAGAAGATAGCTGTTCTCTGTAATTGGAATAGTCCAGTATATAACTATTAGACTTCCCCAATCTTGGGCAGGGTCTAAGCTAAAGGGCAGAAGATGAAAGCTCATTGCTATGGAACTGCGCACCAGCTGTCTGGGCCTCTCCACTCAAGAGCAGGTTTTCCTGCACCCCATTGGCAGTTTGTACCTCATCTTTGCTCAGCTACTGAGAGGCTGGTAGGCTAACTGCTGAAGGATATGAATCATTTGCTGAGGTTACCCAGAAGAGACGCTCTGAAGAAATTTGATGGAATACACAGTGAGAACTTTTCTCTTGACATAACGCATATTAGAACAGCATTACCTCTTATAGAAAAAAAAAAAAAAGGAGCCTCGACAGATGTTTATGCTGAAATTAACTTATATTTCAACCTCAAAGCACTCTTATCAAACTAAGAGGATTTGAAATGTCAGTAAATGTTTTTCTCTATGACATATCTATACTAAAGAAAGTTTCGAAAAATATTTAAAGACAAGTATAGCAATGTTTAAGAGTTTAGAAGTTCATATTATTCAACTCTCAACATTATCTTTAAATCCATAATTTTAAAAGTGACTTCTCTGTTAAGTATGAGCAGCATAGATCCCAGCAGTGCTTGTGAATTTGGTGTGGTGGCTCTCTCTGTTTTTATACCATACCAGTCAAAGAAAAAAGCAGAAGTTCCACCGCAGCTTCCTCTTGGGTGAAAATGCCTCAAGGGCAGCTACAGTTAGGAAGTGATAAAGTAAAATGTAGCCTGCAAAGGGGTAGAAAACAGGGAGTACTTAAATATATGAATTAACAACATGCCTCCTTTGACCAGACTTCAGTCAGGCTCCTTTAAGCCCTCTTCTCCACTGGGCCCTTATCTTGGCCCTCGTCCTTCCCCGACCTGCATAGCCTGGTTTTAGCAAGAATCCTGTTAAGTCAATTTGGAGGAAATATTTCCCATTCTTTTCTGATCATCCTGGCCAGACCACAGCAAGAATCCTGTTAGATCAATTTAACAAGAATCTCCTCATCCCTGATGTCTCGTCTTATTGATTTTCTATCCAGACTCTGTTCCTTGGCAAATAAATCCCCAGGTGTCTATTGTACTTAGAATTGAGCCCAATTCTATACTAAGGTCTTTTTTTCCTTATTGCAATTTTTTAAAATAAAATCTATTTTTACCACTTTAGTATCTGGCTTTGGTTCTCTTTAATAATAAGTACAACCAAGATACATGTATACACATAGTTCCAATGTTTAAGATAGAATACGTGGTTTCAATGCCCATATGCTGATGATGAAAGTGTAAATTAATACAAGTTCCAAGAGAGTAATTGGAGACTCTATATTTGAAATCTTTAAAACACTCATATTCTATTAGTCACTAATTCTATTTCTAGGACTCAATCTTACTAAATATAGAATATCTAAAGATATCCACAGCATTATTATAATAAAGAATAATTAAATCTAAATTTAATTCAACAGTGTGATATGTAAATTATGCATTCATTTGCAAAAACATTGTATAGCCCTCAAAATGTTTATGAAAACATGCTTATGAAATAATACAGAAAGCAAGATATAAAATTGCGTGAAATTATGCCCTTGATTAACAAAATATCTATATGTGTATTATATATTTTAAATATATATGAATATATATATAAAAGATTGATAGAGGCACATGAAAATGTTGAGAGGGCATCTTCTTAGATGTATTGATGTTTTTTCCTTTATCCTCAAAAAGTCAGGATTCTTAGTTGCAAACAAAAGAAGCCACTCTAGCAAAGTAAAGTGGAAGTGATATTTATTAAAAGAAATAAGGTAGCTGACAGAATGATTAAGGGGGCTGAGAACAGTCCCTAGGCTAAGCTTTCTAGGGCAATGTCCAAGTCTGCTGTAAAAATCATCACCATTGCTGCTACTGAGTAATAAATACCAGCAACTGAACTTGTTTAAAACTTCTGGCTATCCTGCTCTTCTACAAAACTATCACCTCTTAAACTACAACCCCCAAAAACTGTACTTGTCTGTTGCTACCCATCTATCAAAAATATGCAGAGGCTGTTTCTTCATATTGCTCGTCTCCAGATCAAAGTCTTAACTCTGAGCATAGGAGTGACACAGCTGACTTATACGGTAAAAGGATAATTCTGATTGCCAGAAGGAGAATATATATAAGGGCAAGGAAGGAAGCAAGGAGAGTACTTAGAAACCATTGTAAAAATCCAGGCAATAAGTAAATATAGGCTAGTAGAAGGCGGAGTGGTGAGAAATAGCCAAATTCTAGATAAATTTCAAATATAGACATTGTAGGATTTACTAATTGCCTACGTGTGAGGAGTAAGAGAAAGAAAATTCAGGAATGATCCCAAGATTTCGACTTGAGAATTTGAAAGTTATTTGGGTAATAGTGTACTGAGATGAGGAAGCCCTTGGGCAACGTGACGGGTAGCAGTTAAGTACGCGAGGTGAGCTCAAGTCTAGAGATAGAAATATGGAAAATGCCTTGCATAAGATCTGGTACCTACTAGGATAGTAAGCGGGGATTTCCTGTTTGTTGAGTACAATTCTGGGTATATCTGGGCTTGCCTAATCAAAATCCTATTTTCATATAAATGAAGGAGCCTCCTAGAAAGAAAACTGCTGAAATTGACTCTACAGAAAATTCTTTAGCCCTTGACAGAGAAGGAAGATTCTGAACAGCATAGATACCATCACTTGAATTTATCTCCTAATCCAAATTCTGTAGATAGGCAATCAGGGAAGATGTAAGCAAAAATGAAAGGGCGTCTGAGCATGGAGCACTGCTTTGAGACTGACCCTGTGGCCTGGCTTCTTGATGTACCTCTAATAGAAACCCATGGAACAATGGCCACACAAAACAAAAGACCAGTGTCTGGAGAAGTAGCATAAGCTCTTGGTGGAAATGGACTTCTTCACCAGTTAATGTAAAAGAAACCCTAAGACAACCTTTTGTGGGTGATTTTACAAGGCATTGAGGTCCTTCCTATGTTAGGCAGTTGTGGGCAAAATCAATGAGGTATGTGTTATCATCCTAATCTGGCACAATTGGCTCCACTTGGGGAAGAAAGCTCTGGTTATAGTACATATTATCACTAATGAAAGGAATTGAGAAAAGGAAAGTAGTAAGAGTACAAATGAATAGATGATTTCTTCTCTTAAGTCTGAGAAATCGAAAGGAAATATATAGCAGAATCCTTAGCAACAAGAGAATTCAGTTTAGCTATATTTATGCTTGAATACACAAATATAATTAACCTAGTCCTGAGAACAGCATACAATCCAAAATCATCCGAGCTAGGCAAAAGAATTAAAGTAAAAATTAACTTTACAAAGCTATGTATTTTTAAAAGGCAATTATTTTTGAAAATGATCATTTGTTGAGTAGAGAAAGGGAATACATAACAAAGCTAAAAATGTCCAAACATGCAACATAAAATTGTTGCATTTTAATAACTAAAAAAGCCAACATTACTGTTTTGTACATTATTTTAGAAGAAATTGGTATATTTAGTAGGAGCTTTGCTCTGCTCCAGTGTCATTGTATAATTCTCTTTGAATAAGAAGTGGCGTTTGCCCAACATTTTTCATCTAAATATCTAAAAATGTCTAAAAACTAATTATAAAACATCATTATGGGTCATTCAGTACATCTGTTTCTAATAGGAAAATAAGTTATTTATGTAGACTATCCAAATGAATACCAGATGCAGTGTATGGAAAGTCAGAAGATAAAGAACCCATCAAGAAACAAATTTGACACCATTGTGAATAATTGATATCAAAACTCATTATTGAACTATAGCAGTAATATTTATAGTGTCTAGATACATTTTTTCCTAACTTGATCTTATTCTCTTATCAAAATGTAATGCTATAAATATGAAAGTGTTCTAGGTTAAACATAGCCTCAACTGTATATATGTGTATTAGTCCATTTTCATGCTGCTGATAAAGACATACCTGAGACTGGGTAATTTATAAAGAAAAAGAGGTTTCATGAACTCACAGTTCTGCATGGCTGGGGAGGCCTCACAATCATGGCAGAAGGTGAAAGGCACATCTTATGTGGCAGCAGGCAAGAGAATGAGAGCCAAGAGAGAAGGCAAAACCCTTATAAAACCATCAGATCTCATGAGACTTATTCACTACCATGACAACAGTATGGGGGAAACTGCCCCCATGATTCAATTATCTCTCACAGGGTCCCTCCCACAACACATGGGAATTATGGGAGCTACAATTCAAGATGAGATTTGGGTGGGGACACAGCCAAGCCTTATCAGTATGGAATGTACTTATGCATACCTAGAGTAATAAAGGAAAGTAATAATAGTACATATAGTACTTACTCTGCGTCAGGTACTCCCTAGTCTGTTCTTACAAATAACTTCTTATTTAAATTTATCAATCCGGTGAAGGAAATACTACTATTCCTATTTTACTGACAAGGAAACTAAGGAACAGAAAGAAAAAATGCCTATTCATAGAGTATTTGATTTGAACCCAGACAGGCTAATAAACTTGTGCTTTCAACAACTACAGGCATAACCATATCTGAAGTGTTAAGATCACCTTTGGACTGTGAATTCCTGATTAGAGTACTTCAGTTCTATTTAACTGCTTCTATCACATGGATTATAGTTAACTTATACATTGTCACATACGTAAAACTAGTTTATACCAAATTAAAGTATTATCACACAATAATATAACAGTGATGTGTTTGCTTAATAAATATCATAGTCCCTTTCTCTTTCTGAATCCTTTATCTTTGTTCATCCCCACATCCAACACATAGCCCCAATAAAATAGAGGGTTAGAGGTTTTGGAGCCTAAATGTTTACGAAATCCAACTGGAAAGTAAGGGATTATAAAAAATTCTGTATCATTTCTCCCCTAGGAATAAAACTCATCATGTATGTAAATGAATATATTTAGAACAGTATGGCAAGGTTGAGATTTTTCCACATAATGTAAATGATTATCTCCAGCTACACACACTGTTGCTTTTTATAAGACACTTCAGTAAAACATGCTGGGATAGAGAGACATAGTCTATCATGCAGTGTTACCCACAATACTGAAATTGCTGAAATTCCTTTAGTCTTTCATCTATGCATGAGTTTATCAGGCTATATATATGTGTGAATTTGTGCATGATTTTAAAGATCCCATGACTCTCCAAAATAGTTGTAGTTTATTTTATGACTCTGAAAGATAGTCTATTCTCACTGTAAAAAAAAGAAAAAAAAAGTTAAATGATACAGAAAAGAATAAAAAAGTTAAAAAATCTTTTAGAATGCTACTATGCAGTGATAAGCACTAAAAACCAATCTCTCTCTCTTAACACACATGCATAATTATCAAAGAGATCATGGCGAAAACTCACAGCAAAGTTAGAAGCCTTCTGAGAAGTGAAGGCTTACATTTGCTTCCAGGTAAAAGTTCCTGTTCTGTGGCAAACCACTTCTACGGGCTTTTGTTGCAAACAGATAGTGTGAATTGAAAAGTTTTAGAGGTGTGGCTCTAAGGAGCTAACATGGTCTGCCCAGTAACACAGAAATCATTTCTGTGATGGTAGACTTACCCTTTTGCTGATTGTTGTCAGGAAGTTAGAGAAAAAAAAATATTAAATCATTTCAACACCAAGATAACATTGGTTATTCTTGGGAGTTGTATAACAGGAATTACAAAAGCAACCGCAGAACACCACTGAATTTGCTTGCTTGTGGGGTCTCATATTTCTTGTTGTTGTGTTCAAAACTCAGTTCAACTCACAGAGACCCAGAAGAAATTGAGAAGCAGACCTTGGACGTGGTTACCACTGCACACTGGAGAAAGGTCTCTTTGTTTATTGTTACTACATTGATCAAAAAGTTGCCTATGAGACCTGGATAAGAAACTGCTTATCTCAGGTTGCTATAATGTAAAGAGATGCCAGTAGAAATTAGGAAGCATGGACAAAATTTGAAATTATATATGAGTATTTTAAGGGTGTGTGTGTGTCAATAGTAATTCTGCCTTATGGTTCTATAATGGTTTCTTTTTATTTGTTTTTAATGATGAGGTTTCGCTCTGTCACCCAGGCTGGATTACAGAGACATAGCTATAGCTCTCCATAGCCTCGCCTCAAATTTTGGGGATCAAGCTATCCTCCTACCTCAACTTTCTGAGTCACTGGGGCTACAGTTGTGCCTGAAATGTTTCTTTACTTTTTGTTTGCATTAGAAATATTTCCCCAACCCATTCCATTTTCCGTATCTCTTAATTTTCTAAAATACGGGTGTTTTCTAAAACCAGGTCTAAACCCCACACACAGCTAAAATCCTCCAATAACTTCCATTACTTTGGTGATAAAATCAAAAATCATTAACAGAATTGAGAAATCCTTCCTGATCTGACTCTTACTTCCCTCCCCCGAGAGGCATGAAAGCATCATTTGGATTCTGTATTCTATGAGACCAGGTATCATGTTTCCTACCAGTCAGCATCAGTACTTGAAGACCATATTTACTTGCCATAACACCATGTTTTCAACTTCACAACTAGATATATAATAGTTCCTATTCCTCCAATTCCCTTCTTCTCTCCAGCCCTTTTTTACTTGATCAGCACCTAGCTGATTCTAGCCTCAGCAAAGGCCTCACCTGCTCTATGTAGGAGGCTATCTCTGACCTTTCCAGAAGGGGTTAAGTATGCTGTCTTGTGTGTCCATATCTCCCTGTGCTTTTATATCTAGATCTCCAACAGTCCCTGTTGTAACCACTCTTGTCACCACCATATCACAGCTCTTACCACAGTGAGCTCCTTGGGGCCAGTGACCGTATTTTTATTTGTGTATTACTAAGGTGAATATACAAGGCAAGAATTTAATATTAGCTAGTTCATTTGATTCTGCCAAACCTCTATAATTAAGGAAGTAGAAAAGACCCTATAGCCTCCTCATTCAATAGGTAGCTGAGGTTTAGAGAGCTTAGTATCTTGTCCAAGGTCTTACAGCTAGTTAGGAACATAAACTAAAATCTGAAATTGAGATCTGTATTCTCTCTCTCTCTCTCTCTCTCTCTCTCTCTCTCTCTCTCTGTGTGTGTGTGTGTGTGTGTGTCTCTCTCTCCCCACCTCTATTCCAGCTTTCTCTTTGCCTGAACACACACACACACACACACTCTTACATGTTTCGACCATTGTGAATGAATTCTAGGTCAAGTTTATGATGTTAACCAGATATTCCAACCACTGTGTGTTGATATGACTCTAAAAAGAAAAAGATTTCTGAAAGCATTTTGCAAGGCATTTATAGAAGTAAGAGATATGTTTCCATTTTATCACCACAACCTCCATTAAAAATTGGAAGCTATTATTCCTGGAGACTTCAGAATTTTCTTTGGAAATATCCTGCAATTCAAAAGGAAGTCTGACACAGCCTCATAAAAATCTATGTTGCAATAGACGCTGTGTCACTGAAAACCACCGAAAAGACAGGGTTAAGAACACAAAGTGAGCTGCAAACCATATATGGAGAAACCCGTTTCTTAAAACTAGTGATGAACTCATGCTCCTTCTGTTTTCTCAAAGCTGAAGTCAGCTAGCTTTGTAAAGCTGCAGGCTGAGCACTCAGAAAGGCAATCACACTCAAAACGGTGGCGGCTCCGGACTGCAGCCTCCAAAGGCTCCATGCCAGACAAAGCATGCGCGTCACGCTGGCTGCAGTAGCCTGGATGGTTTCTTTTGTCTCCAGTTATTCACACACAGCACACATTTTGCCAGATATCGAAGATGAAGATTTCATCAGAGACTGCGTTCGAATTCATAACAAGTTCCGTTCAGAGGTGAAACCAACAGCCAGTGATATGCTATACATGGTAAGGAAAATATCATTATTCATGACGTAAGTCGGTCAGGAACAACTAATGTGTATTGACTTTGGTGTTAATGCCTTGGCAATCCTGAATGATTTTTTTGCATTGTGATTAATGTATGCAGTAAATTCACAATCTGTGATCATAGCGAATCCAGTTTAGCTCTCTTCTCAGCTGTTGTCATAAGCAAGTGCCACCGCACATTTCACTTCTCTTTTTGGACACTTCCTGTTCTCTGGTTTTCAATAGAGTTTACTTCTCTTTTTGTTATTTTCTTCCCTGTTAATTTTTGTGATTTTGTTTCTTTTGGGGGTTTTGCCTCTAAATTTACTGTTTGTGTTGCTGACAAAGTACTGAGTTGCTCAGGAAGGCAGCATGGCACCGGGGGAAAGGATGGAATTTTGATTCAGTAAGGCTTGTGATTGAATTTCAGATCTGTGACTTTAAGCTGGTTTTTAACCTTTCTGAACTTCTTAGGATGTGGGCTATGGTGGTTATTAACTAATGCTGTGAAACACAGCACACACTATTTTGCCCATAACTGGCCTTCCGTGAAATGTGTTTTCCTCACTTAGATTCTAAATTCCATGAAACTAAATCATCATGTTTCCTACCTGCCCTACTCCGTGCTTGAAGACCGTATTTTGCAGAGGACTTACATGCAGCGGTATCTTCTCTTTTCTTATCTCACCTCATTTTCCATTCAGATTCCCACTGTACTCATCCCAGTTACATTTTAGATGAGCCCCCTATTGTTTAATTTCTGACCCCCTATTAATTCATGTTTCTTTTTGCAGACTTGGGACCCAGCGCTAGCCCAAATAGCAAAAGCATGGGCCAGAAATTGCCAGTTTTCACATAATACACAGCTGAAACCACCCCACAAGCTGCACCCAAACTTCACTTCACTGGGAGAAAACATTTGGACTGGGTCTCTGTCCCTGTTTTCTGTGTCTTCCGCTATCACAAACTGGTATGACGAAATCCAGGACTATGACTTCAAGACTCGGAAATGCACAAAAGTCTGTGGCCACTACACTCAGGTAAGTGTCTGCCCTATATTTTCTTGAAACTGTCTTTTCCAGTGAGGAGAAAATTGTACTATGTGGTTCAGAAATACATAGTATGCTCGTAGGTCTGTAAATATAAGGGAGTTACAAACTTACTTTAAAAATAATAAATAGTACAGACTCCAATAACAGAGAAAATAGTACTTGAAAAGTTTAGTTGTGCAAACTAAACACATAATAGGTAATATGTGAGGCCCACCAACGTGGACAAGCTTTGAAGAATTCCTATGGCAGCTGTTCTCCCATACGACTTTATTTTTGAGAAATCAAAGAACCTTATGAGTGAATGGATTTTCAGGTTCCATCTGGCACAAGTTTTAAATGGAATTTGAAGCAATTTTGGGGGGACTATAAAATTGAAAGAAACAAGCCTCTCAGACAGAAACAGCAGTAAGAACTGATGCTCCACAACCTCTCATTCTCTCAAGCATTGACTGAAAACCTGTGTGCCGCCCACTGAGCGCCGTGTACTTTGCCACCCAAGGAGGCAGAAAAAGTCAGTTCCAGCCCAACAGAGACACCAATGTGTAAACTTATATGAACCGTTCTAAGGGTATTCTGCCCCCAGAATCCACATTAGTAGTCCCCGTAGCCACAGAGCCACCCATTGAGTTTTATTTTTATTTTTATTTTTACTCAAGCTGAGTCTGGCTCCCTAACCCTCCTTCACGTTTGCAGCGTGATGGAAACAACTCCCTAGGTAGTATCTGTCATAATCATCTTCCGGTGCTGCCTTCCTCTCCTGGCCACATTTTGTTTATTTACTTTCATTTCCTGGCCATCCTTGTCAAACTGATAACTTACCATACTTAACCTGTAACTGACTGTTTTTTTGGGGCACAAAAATCTGTTGAAATGAGGTATGAAGGCAAAAACGTTTCTATCAAGGCAGTTACATTGAAATATTAGGTGGTTTTAAAGAGCAACATGTTGTTAGAAAAACTCTCTCACTCCAGCTCAGCCTTACAAAGCCTGTGATCTCATTTATGGTGTCACGGATGAACCAAGTTTGGCGCAGTTACAAAAGATCAGTATTGTAAGAGTAAAGTGACTGATTTGAGTGAATTTTCATCTCGAGATTGTCGCAAGCAAAGGTGAGCTATCAAATCATCTCTAGGATCGATTTCTTTTTTGGAAATACGAATAAAATTTCTCCTAAATTTATCTCATAAGCCAACAGTTTTGGTGTACATTTACAAATAAATTTAACCAGAAAGTAAGTTTCCTTAGATTCCAACAAGACCTAGGGGAGAAGAAAGCTAAATCTAGATTCCCTACAGGTGGTACTTGGTACCATTATGCATTGTGGTATTTAAATACTCAGAAATAATTGTCATTTTGAGGGTGCCACTTCCATTTATTAGTCAGTGTTTAAGCTTCTACCTATACCAGGCACTGGTGGTTTGCTTAGTCCAGATTCTTGGAAAACAGAGCCTGAGACAATCGTGTATAAGCTAACATTTTACTGGGGTACAATCTTAGAGAAGTGGAAGTGAGGAGAAATAAGGAATGATCCAAGGAAGGAGGAGAAATACAGCTGGAAATGGTCCTTGACCCTCAGGAATTGACCTTTGGGAAGAGACTTACGTGTAAATGGATTATGACAGTGTTTGGCTGGTGCAATTTAGAGAAGCTGACGAAGCGCCATGTGAACAAGGAGGACAGAGCAACTCATCCAGCCAAAGGGAAGCATAAAGCTTCACACAGCGGGAGACACATGAGCTGGTACTAGAGAACTGAGTGGGAGTTTGTCAGATGAAAAGGAAAGGGAAGAGAATTCTCAGCAAGGTGTGGAAGGTATGCAACGTGTATGAATGAGCCTGGTAGTTTCGATGAATAGCAGGCAGCTCAGCATGCCAAATACAAAGAGGTCAAAAGACTGTAAAACTGACAACAGACTCCTAAACCATGCTCGGTACACAAGTTAAAACACTCCATGTTCATCATTCTAGGAAATTGAAAGAAGAGAAAACTTCAGTTTATATCATATGTACCTGAGATTTCGCAGATGGCCATTCCAAAATTAACTGAGCTTACTTGCAAAATTTCCCCTTACGTCTCAGGGAGAAAAGAAGGGCTAATATTTTGGTCATGAGAAAACTCATTTTCCAAAACCCAGTCCCATACATACAGACATTAAAACCCAAGCTGAGTGATCCTAACAGGAGTGATCCTCTTTTTTATTTTGAGACAGAGTCTCGCTCTGTTGCCAGGTGGAGTGCAGTGGCGCGATCTCAGCTCACTGCAACCTCCGCCCAGGAGTGATCCTCTTTAAGAGACCACTGCATTCTACCCCCACTTTAGAAGAGGGACATTCATCATGGGGAGAAAGTCTAAGAACCCTCTGGACTGGGAAGATACAGCAGAGCAACCACTTTTTTAATGGGCGTAGTGTTGAGCTCTCTACATTGAAGACCTCATTCGATTATCACCACAAATCTATTAAGGAGATGTTATTACCCACAGGTGAATAAACAGACTGGGGGGCATTAATAAGTTGTTTCCCTGATTTCATTTAGCTAGTACGAGGAAGAGTTGAGATTCAGATATTAGTTCTATTAGAAGGCTTAAATAATAAAATGTGTGTAAATTAGCTAATAAAATGCTAATATTTAGTAGGCATTGAACGAAGGGTAGATCCCTTAAATCAGCTGGTTTTCCAGCACTTATAATGGAAGAGGGATGTGATAGCTAGGTAAAAGACTCCATTTTCATCCTGACAAGAAATCTTCCTGGGGGACTCAAAACTTCTCCATTGCTGTGTTAAATTCATCCTGGACAGTTACTTGAAGTGGATATTATAACCTCCTACTTATACTCATCTTCTCGTCAAAAATCAAGCTATTCACAGATTTTGGTGGATCATGGGAGGTTGTACAGAATAAAGAAAATAGATTCAGACCCATTGTCTCCTCACAAAATGTATGATATTTCTTGATGTGTTCATTCAACACTTTAGCTTTGTCTTCACTAGAGATAGACTGGCATTGAGGGAAAATTCTGGTGTATAAAATGGAAGATTATTCCAACTTGACATTCTGTTGCTGTGACAGTTCAGCTTTACAAAGTTTGGAATTAGTTTGAATAAAATAGGCAGGGGAGCAGATTACTTG